GTTTATCAACCAAACCTTCTTTCACTTCAATAATTGCATCAGGCCTCATTTTCTCATGTTCTTTACTTTTAATGGCATCCATTTCTTTAGAATCAGCCTGTTCTTCACTTTTTTCTAGCAGAGTATCTAGCTTATCAGCACCTTTCTTCTCCTGCTCATATTCCCTTACCAGGACCATTGAGTCACCAGATATATGCTGGCTCAAGTCTTGTTCACTAGCAAATTCACCACCAAATTCTGGTTTGGACTTTCCAGCTGCTGCCAACTTGACTTCTATCAAAGACAGGTCAGCTGGTAGACCTCTTCTCAGTTTTTCATCTGTGCCTTCATAAAAAGGGCATGTTTCACCAGTTAAACTTTCACTGTCCTGGACTGGAGAAGGAAGTGGAACTGTGTATTTATTGAAGACACAGTAGCCTAAATCTTCCAGCTGACTTTCAGCTTTTAGGGTTATGTGGTTTTCATCAGTCACAGGAGGCAGGGTTGTACCACTGTCTTCTACAACAGCATCAGAAGGAACAGATTTCCTTCGAGCCACCTCTGCATCAGCACTCACAGAAGCTAATCTAGACCTTGTGCCAGCTAGATCCAACATTTCAGGCAAGTCAGGAGCCATTACAGTCCCATTTTTGTAATAATCTTTAGCCAGGAAAGGTGACTCAACCAGGGATTCAGCCTGAATGTTTTCTTCTGTCATGGCTTTCTCCTCTTCAATCTCATCATCATCATCATCTTTGCTATCGATAGGGAAGCAAGGGGCTTTCTCTAATGCTGGGGTGGTTGCTGGCAAGTAGTCATCACCTTCATCCAGGCTCCCACTAGTATTAGTCAGAATATCTGAAGCTAGTGGAGACAGATCATGTGTCCGACCAAAGCTAAATCCTAGAGCTATAGAATCCAGACAAGACATTGGCAGGTTAATTGACATACTTCTCTGCTCAATTGCAGATCTACCTCCAAGTCCTAAGCTCCTGCTTAGAGTCAAATCATCTTTATTTTTATTATGGATATCTCTCTTATCCCCATATACCTTGGGATCAATAGTGAACATTCTTTCTGGTGAACTGGGTTCCTCTGAGTTGTCAGATGGAAAAGTATGAGCAAGAGTACTGTACCCTATTTCATGAGCACTGGGGTGTTGATCTGTTTCTGACTCTAATTCATCTTCCTCTTTTTTAGACAATACAGAATCTATATGATAAGGTTCGTATGCACTTTCTTTAGTATCACTTAGTTCATAGTAATCACTGCCTTGCTTCTGAACGTCACTTTTTATTGCTTCTTCTTTCAAAGTAGATGTTTCAAAATACTTTGACATTCCTGACCTATCCTCTTCTGCTTGTATTTCATGAGTAGCTGACTCTGCAATACAGATATTATCTTCCTTAGTATCCTTTTTTATATCTTTTTCATGAGAAAATTCTTGAGTTGGACCTTTTTCACCTGTTAAGCTTAGAGCATCAGGAGCTTTCTCTGCTGTTTTAGATAACTGAACTTTATCTACAGATTCATGGCTTAATGTGCTTGTGGGGGCCTTTATGCTTGCCTGTTCTTCCTTTTTGGCATCTATTGCTGCTGAAACTTCAGCTTGATCCATTTCTTTTTCTGTTTTGAGACTATCAGGTGACTTTTTAGTTTCACCTTCCTTTTGAACAATTTCTTTGTCTGCAGCAAGTCCTTTCTCTTCAGACTTTGTAAAAAAATTACTGTCATCTAATACCTTGGACTTCTGTCCATCAAGGAAATCATATCTTTCATCTTCATCACTCTCATCTCTTGTCATGTCCTTTTCTTCCCCCCAAGTAGAAAATTTCTGGGTGGACCTTTCCTCTGCAATTGGGGCATCTACAGTCACTGCTGAGACTCCTTGTGCCTCTAGAGTTTCTATTTTGTCTTTGGAGATCCGTTCCTCCTCTCTTGAGAAATCTTTGGCAATTTGTTGTTCAGTAGAGTCTTGTTTTATTTTGTAACTGTCTTCAATCTGATATTTCTGTGGGACAGCTGGTGATGTTTCTGAAGGAGCTTCTTTTCTGACAGTATCTGACACATCAACTTCGGATTCTGGTGGTAAAGAACTTATTCCTTGCATGGAGACGTGATCTTGGACATCTTTAAAGTCATCTTTATATTTTAAGGGAATCATTTGGCTTGAAGGTATTGAGTCATCCATACTCCTTTCATCTGCTTTACTCTCTTTTGGTTGTTCAGTGGACAAGTCCCTTTGTTCTTGAGAGACAGAAGGTTTTGCAGTTGAATCAGGTTCTGTGGAACTTACTTCTCCTTTCTTTTGCAGATCGGTATCCAAAGTTTGTGAGAAAGTGGGAAGCATTCCCTCTTCTTTTCCACGAGATTCCTTTTTATCTGTATCCTCTGTTTTTGCTGGCTGTGGAACTAAGGCATCATGTTTAGGTTGCTCACCAGTCTTAATGTCTTTCTCTGATTCACGTTCCTTTGTGTCTAATGGCTCAGCTGTGAAAGGGCCTGTGCCCTCCTGGTCTTGGATTTCCATCTTCGAGGCTGTAAGTAAATCTGAAGTAGTTTGGGTTTTACAACAAATTACTTAAAGCACTTATAGCAGGCAGTCATTTAGCTTACAACATCTTGTATGATTAATGCAGGGGAAAGGGAAAATATGCAGGCATGCAGCAAGGCTATCCATTTAGAAATCTGTTTTAAACTGTTGCATTTAACTCTCCTCTTAATATACAAGGTTTCATAAATACCATACATTATAATGTCAGGAAAATATGAAAACCTGCATCCGTTGTAATGAGTAGTGTCTTAAGAACTGTCTTCTTACTCATTACTTGCATCCAACTCATTACTTGCATCCAACAAGTAAAAATATAAATAGCCTTCATTTTATAAGTATACTTCACTGGAATCTGAATACATTGTAAGGTTTGCTTTAGTAAGTCCTACAAAATTTAGACAAAAGAACAATATCCTTGAAATATATCGTATATGCATTTGCATATATCTAAAGCTGTCTTAAATAAGATCTTTTCTCTGTGTAGCCTAACCTAAAGAAATATCAAAATGTACAGTACATGGGGTGAGGGTAGATGGAGGTTATTATGTTTACTAACTTTTCACATTTGCTCTTGGCAAACTGCAAAACTCAAGCTACTCTCATAAAACTAAATTCACATAACATGAATTGGATATGTGGCTGTTTTTATTTCCAAAGTTTGAAGTCCTGGTTTTCAGAAATGCTGAGCACCAAGAAGTTCAAATTAAGTTTATGAAAGTTGCAGGGTGTTCAGAATCTCTGAAATTAAAATATTTTAAAACTAAATGAAGTGCTATTCTTACATCAGTTATTGTTATATTCTTAGATAATATTCTTTGGTAATGTGTTAAGAGTAGAATTTTTAAGTGATTTATTAGTAGTTAATGACCACTCTTTCTTAGTGCATTTTAAGACAAATACAATGCAAGGTACTGCAAAAAGTTATAATGTTATCTATTAAAAAGAACAATTTTAAGTGCTTTTAAGCCAAGTTTTAAAACAAATATTGGGCAAATTTGGCTCTCCTTACTCACTTAAGTGTTCTGTCTGAAGCCAGTGAAACTATTTCTATAAGGACAGCATGCTGGACTGATTACTACATTATTCAACAATTTATAGGTTATTTGTTAACCATTAGTAAAACATTTAGGTATGCTACCTAAAGCTTAAAATGTTAATCATTTTTCTAAACATTGTAACTAGCAAATAAAAAGTCCACATGTACAATTATTTTTTTCTTCTGTATCTTTTAATATTTTTTTGCTCTTGTGGTGGTCGTTTTTGGTGCCTTTAAAAGCAATGCTTATTAAGTAATGTCACCGTGAGATTAACTAAATGAATGTTACCTTTGTTTACTTGTACTATACAGTACTGATGCAGCATAACCACTGACATTAATCAGCATTTTTAATATCACAGGAATTTCATTTTAAATCAACTGGACCAAATAAAATTACTAGCATAGGCTTTCTCTTAGAAAGGTAGCCTACCAAAACCAACACCTCTTAACACAATAAAATCTGTTTTTACTGAAAAGAAATGGTGTCCACAGAACAAAACCTGAAGTTCTTAGTTTTTACTCAGGAAAAAGTTTGATCTCAAAAGTGATTTTGCCTGAGTAAGCATCTCTGAATTTTATGTAGGTGCCCAATCCTGTATTTCATTATGAAGGAAAAAAATCCCATTGAAATCATGGGAGTTAAGCCCAAGCAAGGTATTCCAGTTGGGCTATACATTTACAGTAGGGTAAAATAAATGAAAACTCACAGCTCTAGCAATGATCAAAGAGGGAAAGAGTAGACTGCAATGAATGGCACGGATATGACATAAGAAGCGACAGCTTTAGGAAATTAAACCAGAATGCACTGAAGCATAAAAAATACTGCACACTGCAAACAAAAACATTTCTATAGCTTAAGCCTCTTTATGTCATAGTCAAAGTCAATAAATCATATGAATCTCTGCATCGAAGAGAAAAAAAAATATACACATAGATTAGCAATGTGACTGGCAAACACATTTGAGATGGGGAAAAAAAGGCTTACAGGGTGGTATCAGCTTAGCTACAAAGCATATTGTATCACAGCAAAGTAAAAAATCAGGAATTAGCTGTAGTGGTGGGAAACCATGTTGTCAGATAGCATCCACACAAATCAGATTACCCACTACACACTCATCAAGCATAATAACAAGAGCAGTAACAATAAGAAATGAGAAAAACAGGAAATGAAGCAGCCTTAGAAAGCACTGGAGAAAGCTGGAGAACTTATTTGCAGCAAACACATGCAATCCTAAGGAGGACACACCTTCCTCAGCCAAGGAAGGTGCTTTCACTTTCAAGGACACTTCCTGGACAACTGTTACTCTTTCCCAGGTGGGTGCAGCACTTAGCACTCTGTCTTCGTGATACACTTTGGCCTCCGACCCAGAATCCAGCTGGCCCTCAATGAGGCCCTTTGCCTGGTCTGAAGGTTCAGCAGGCCTATTCTCTTTCCCCAGTTCCTTTCCAGGAAGGGCTGCTGGTTTCTTTTCCTCGGCCATTGGACTGTGTACTGTTTCTTCTTCTTTGAGGGGTGGAAAAAGGAGGTGATATCAACACCAACAGACAATACAAAATTCAAAGCTCAGCAGGACTATTCTTCCATAACACTTTCAGCTCTATGTAGAGGTTATGTTTTTAACTTCTCAGGTAGGTGCTTTAGCCTCCATCCCATTTCAAGTACTGGAGGTATGAGTGAGTGAACTTAACTTAAAATGAGAAAGGATGTGTTATTCTCTGGCTGCCAAATGGCACGGCATACACTGGAATGTTTAACAGCATCATTTCCCTTCTTGACAAATGTTTAAAGCAAGAGCTGAAAATGTCTTACAAAGCTATTGTTTCCCATCTGGAGATAACTGAAGAGCAAAATAAATGTTGAAAACTCATTGGAAGTGGACATGGTGCTGGGTGATAGATGGCTGTGAAAAGATTGATATATCAATGAGCTCACAAAGTGCACCACATTTTTTATAAACGTACCGGTTTCTCTAATACATGAAGGCCCTTCAGGGAAAAACTCCTTTCACTGACCTTGAGGATATTACAGACTAACTGTCAGCAAGGAATCTAATCTGGAAAATTATCCTGAAAAAACTTTTATAGGGCTGATCATTAGTAGATTCACAAGACTACTTGAGCTGCCTGTGGCAACTGGGTGCATAGCTTTTCTCCTTCAGCTGAGCAATGCATAATGATGCTATCTAGGTACTTTAAGTTCTGTACATTAGATCAGGAATTTAAAGGGGGGGGGGGTCTTCATTTTTTCCCCAGTAAAATGTAGCCTGATAAGCCAAAATGTACAATAACAATATTTGATCACTTAAATTTCTAAAATAGGGTAATGTCACCTATCCCAGTACAGTGCTAATGTAATTATTTTATCATCAAGCATAGTGATTATTTCACTCTTGACAAAGCAGAATACTAAAGGCTCCAGGCAGATGCTGCATTTATCGCATAATTAATGTGTTAATCACATGACAAATTGTAACATGCCAGTTTAAATCAATTTAGCATGTGATAAAAATGGCAAACCAGTCACAAAGATGTTCCAATTTGAATTTAATGTGAAACAGCTTTGTGGCTGGTTTGCATTGTGCTTTAATTTGAACACATGGAGTGTTAAAGCTGTTTTGTGCTGTTTATCCCAAAGCCACCCTTGGGGACCTTTAAAGCTGCAGCACATAGCCCAGTTTTGGTGGCTTTAAAGGTCTGCAAGCACAGTGAGGGAGTTTATCCTAGATCCCAACAATCGCGCATCCTGCCTTGCCAGATTTTGAATGTCTGGCATATCAAGACACAAGATTTTTGGGATCCAGGATAAATACCCCAGATCCCACTGCACATTTAAATTAATGTCTGACAAGGCCCACAGAGTGATTTGTCCAATGCTCCTACTGAAATAAACTATGACATATTCAGATGGAATATCACCTTGCTCTCTGGGTATTCCCATTGACAGCAATCAGAATTAATAAGAGACCAGGAATCAGTAAGGTTCTTAAGTGCAGTTTCACTGAAATCAACACAAGCACTTGAGTGCTTGAAGTGAGGTCCATGCTTAAGACCCTCACTAAATAGAACCAAAATAAAGTGAAGTTGAGTGACTGTGCTTGGCCCAGTTACATTAAAGTTGAACTTTTCTGTAAATAAGTGGTTTTGCTCCTCAGATTGGCTTAAACTAAATTTGTCTCTTATAAAGCACAAAAGGAGCACTTGCCAGCTGGTGAGAGAAAAATACAATACACAGTAAAAATGAAATTACAATTATATCATTTCTCTTAAATTAATAGAAGCCAGAAAATTCAGAATTAGAGATGTAACTGCAACTTTCACCAGAATCTGCCAGCCTAAGTGTTACAGGGATGTTTAAACAGAGGTGGATTTTACCTAATTTATGCTACCAAAGTTGTAACCTGGCACAATTTGGGCATTTGAAAGACAAATGTTCACTATCTAGCTTAACTTGCTTAAATAATTTAGTTAACTTTGTTTCCCTGTACGGTTTTCTCACATTTATCCAATTTTAAAATTTTGATCTGAAAAGAACACAGTTCAGTTCTCCACTTTTTTACCCCATTTTGACGTAGCTTTAACTTTGTGTCATGCAAGCATTAATTGGTGTAACAAAGTGGAAAGTGAGGCCCAAAGTTGAACTCAGTTTATGAATGTCAGTATAGTTGATCATAATGACTTTCAGCATTAGTACAATTCTATCATACAAATATTTCAGATATACAGAGTTAGAAAAGAAATAGAAAAATAATTTGCACAAAAATCTCTTTTAGGTTTTCATACTGGGGAATAAAGAGGATTCTACCAAAAGTGAAGAATTTTGCTTTTCTAATGAACAAAATGAACATTTTTTTTTACAGCTGTGTTACAGTCTCCAATAAAAAAAAAATGGATACTAGCAATTTATACAAACTTAATTTATAGCAGCACTAATGGGCATGACTGTAACAGCAGAGGAAAAAATATTCAACTTGAATGGACAAGTACTATATTTTAACATGCAAATAACTACACAAAAACACACATGCACACATAGATCAAACACTTCTACCTATACTTAGATTAAAATATTCAGTAAAACATTTAGGCTTGATTTTTTCCAACCCTTTTCCAGGAAACATATTTATCTATCTAATCCAATAATAATATATTAATTAAAATAGTACCCCCCTTTTTTTTGAAGCTATAGGACACAGTGGGTACATCTATATGAGAAGCTTTAATGTGGAGTTGACTAATTAGATCTGCAGTAAACACCTCATGTCTACACATGCAGGGCTACTAGGCTGGAGTAAACTAATTAACACTGCAGCAGGGTAGTACTTGTAAAGATAAGTATTATCCTACTGCAGAGTTTTTACTTTGCAGCACTGCATGTGTAGACACTGACGTGGCTGTCTAGGGAATGAGAGTGCTACAGTGCAGGGGATGCCTGCTGGCTAGCCTGTCATTGTAGCACCCTCGTGTCCCAGCCAGCCCCTCCACAGAACACTGACCTGGGGTGGAGCAGCTCTGGGCTGGCAGGCTGACCTCCCAGGTCTCCTGCCAGCTGGGGCAGAGCCACCCAAGCTCAATGTGCTGCTGTCCTAAGTGCATGTGTATACCCTGTTCCTAGAAGCAATAAACTCCGGCATGTGCTGCACTGGCGTTTATTGCTTCACATTAATATCATGTGTAGACATGCCCAGTATAATCCTCAGCTGTTAAATATGTCCTATACTATTTCACGATGGAATCCTAATGATCGTCTTACCAATACTTCCTTGTATATTTAACTCTGTTAAGCCAAAATTCTTAATCCTGTTTTTGCTCACAAGATAGTCAGTAGGAAAAGATATTTTACAAAGCCTGCTTCTTCACTCATGAGTCAGTTTATTTCCCCCTTTCTCTTACAGATAGTGTTCTGGAATCTATTTCTTCCACCAGTGGGCAATGTACAGCTTTGTATAAAGTTGCCCTTCATGATTTAACCTGTCTAGAAGAGGTGTTTTAGGTGTAGGTATGAATATCTTGCACCCATTTTAGGTATGGCAAGTTAAGTTATGACAAGGTTTGTGAGGTACCTGGTTTGCAATAGTTTTGATAGGAGTCCTAATAGTGTTAGCAATCTTGGATTAACAGCATGGGCCTCTTTTAATTGTTTCCACTGTTGCTCCAATATCAGAATACATTTCTCCTGTGCAATATTTTACTTAAATAACCTCATTAGTTCTCAGTATACTCTTCTGTATTCTCTGGTGACATTAACTGCTTCTGAATTTTTATCACCATTCTTCATATCTGGTTTAAGCTGCAGGTTAATTTAGCAAAGTAGTATTAACTGTGACATGGTTCACTTTTGTCTAGGATAGGAATCCAGCAATCTAATAACTATTTGGATTAGGAAAAAAAGACTCCACAAATTCATTCCATTCTTTTCCCACTACCCTGGTAAAATAAGATGCCTAAATGGCTAATGAGGGAGTCAAACTAATATGAGATGGGATGCAGACAACTGCAATAAACTTTCTTAAATATCTGTATCGTTTGTGATCAGGTAAAGGTTGCTGGCCATGTATGGAACATTGGCAAGGACACCACAGGCCAAATGAATCCTTGAAATACCATTTCTTAAGTTTGTGGATAAATTTGGCCTCTTCTGCCCTACAAAACTACTTAGTTGTTTTCTATGGCTTTCCCAGTGGGTAGGTGTCCTGCACCAACACATGGCTTAACTCAGGTACCCTAATTTCCACACTTTCTCTAACTAGGATCGCCACATGGGACAATGTGAAATACAGGACATTGCTTCCCTGTCCCCCAAGTGTCTGCTGCTGCAGGCAGAGTGGGGGCAGGGCATCACTGGTATTACTGTTCAGGCAGCTAAGGAGTCAATTAATAACCCATTGTTTTCTTCACAGGTGTTAACAATCCCCTTTTAATGGTCATTCCACTAATCAAGATAACTTATTACAGCAATTTTGCTGTCTCCTAGAGCTTCCTATTTCACAGCTTCTGCCATTCTGCCTCCCTTCTCCACACCCTGCGCCTGGGATGCTCATTTTAATTTTCACTGGCTGGCCAGGACCAGCTTCCAAAATCTAGGACTGTCATAGCCAATCTAGGGTATATGGTCACCTTATCTCTAACGTTAAGAAGGAACATCTTTTCTTCCTTTTAATGAGATGCTTGTTCACTGCAACAATCAAGGTCATTTTATGACAAACTGTGAACTAAAGCGAATGCCGGTATGAGAGGCACAATAACTATAAATTCATTTACTGCACCACTGCATTTGACTCAGGCCCCTGCCTCATTTGGGGGTATGTGGATTCTAGAGGGACTTCACTTCTGCGTGGAAAAAATAAAGACCTGAAGAAATTGCACCAGGCATGTATAATGGGATGAAGATCATTTGGCAGGGTGGAGGGGAGGAGGAACAAAATGGGACCATGTTTAATTCACCTTTTTCATGGCTTAACAAGGCCTCTGTACTCTGCACTGTGGCACTGGGGAGTGTACTAGAGT